GATGCATGCCTCTTAATTACAACCAGACTGCAAAATTAGGAATGGTATTGATTCCGAAAAGGAACTGCGTGACAGGTGGCAGACTACTGCAGAGCCATTAAAACCTTCTTCCGTTGTTTGCCGCCATCCCCATGATCTGCGAATCAAGTGTGGGTTTAGATGTCATGGCTGGTGATGTAGAAGAAGGTAATAAAACTATGTCATTTAAAATTATAGATTTTTGAAAAAGAAATTTACTACCTGGTTTTTTTTTTTTTAATGTTTAGACTTCCAATGTCCTGTGAACCCTCATTCTCAGTACCTATTTGATATTCACACTTCCTAAATTAATTTTCAGCAATAACTACACCTATATGTGCTGTGCAGATCAAAGAGCGTATGAGCTAGATTAAAAAGAAATTTGTTCTCTCTCTGTTCAACAATGCAGTCCGGCGGTCCCACTCACCATGAGACAAAGGGACTGCTATGGTCTGCGTTATCCTATGTCACCCCACTTTCCCCACATTACTCCCCAAGAAGAATAGAGAAAATGGAAAACTCCCTATCTGACTTGTATTGATAATGGCTGTGCACAGTTATGTGGAATTTTGGATGCTAGTTACTTTTAAATAGATAATCCCTATGTGTAATTCTGATCTTAATATAGAAGTTTGGCTTTCATCATAAGAGTGGTAATATGTCAGCACGTGCTTGTGAATTAAGTTTGCATGAATAATACATGATGCTCAATGTCATTTATTCAGTACATACTCCATACTAGATACTGTGCCAGCTACTCTACATGGCTTTAATTCTGACAATGACCATGTGTTAGACATTGTTATCCCCATTTTAGGAAAAAGAAACTAATGACCATAAACTGTAAGTTATTGCGAAGGCCAACTGGCAGGTTAGTTATTGAGGCAGGTTTCCAGAATAAGTTAGTCTGATTTCATGTCTGAGTTCTTAATAGCCAACATAGAGAAAGGATATGTCCATGAAGAAGGAGGCAGTGTCCATTGTGGAGACTATTTATGATCATGGCATAATCAAGATAAAACAATGTGAACCTTTGAATGATATATGCTGTATTTTTATATAGAATATGACACAGTGAATACTGACTATCTCTTTAGATTTTGCTGATGGAAATGAAGAAAAAAATCTACCTCTGCTTTTTATATGTAAAGAATTTATTTTGACTATCAAACTTTCAAAATGCTTGACTTTATGTCTACCTGTGCTTTGTGGACTTTTCATGATGGTGATGTTTTTTTGCAAGGTGATTTTTTTTAAGATATCTCTTTATATGCTCCTCTGCAAACTGGCTCAGAGTTTTGAGGTTGTCAGTAACATATGCAAAGGATGTTCTTCAAGTCATCTTAATAGTTCTCTCAGCACATCCTTTGGGTGTAGACATCTCCTGATTCCATCTAAAACTTTCAAATCAAATAAATGTGTGGCCACCAAATAATCATTTTCTTTTAAAAAATGTAACGGATAACCAAGAGACTTTTTAAGAAAACATGTATGTTTGTTTCTTCTTGTAAAATGAATGCATACCGTGGTGTTTGAGCAAGGCTGATCTCGCATGATTCAGAATTCCACAGCTCCTTCTGAGGCTGTTTTTTAAAGTCATCCAGCCACAAGAGATTGACAGGGTGGCTCCTCCCCAAGCTGGGCACCTACCAAGGGCTGGGCACCATACTTAGTACTGGACAAGGTACAACAATTGAGAAAGTATGTTCTCTCTCTCCAAGGGGCCCAGAGTATGAGCATGAAACAGATTCACAACAAATTAAAATATATAGGTGCTAAAAATAAAAGCATTCTAAAGTTATATTAACCCCACAGAGGGGTCAGATAATTGGCAGATGTAATTCAAGTAGCTTTCCAAGAAGGATATTTGACTTGTATCTTACAGGATAAATATGTCACCAGGCCAAGGAGAAGGTCATAGGATGAAAAACCTTGAGCAAAAGTACAGCAGCATAAAGGAGCTTGAGGTCCCTAGAAGATAAACTGAGAGCTTTTTGCTTGTTCATGTTAAATATATATCTAATCTAGGGCACATAATGAAGGAGGCAGTAATACTGGTAAGGGACGCCAGGGAGCAACGTCGAGTAGGATGTGTATGTCACACAACTAGTCTGATTTCTATCCACCTTGTAAAGAATGGCAATGGAATTTTTGAAAGAAAGACTGTGACATATTCAGGCATTTTTTTATAGATTATCATTTGTCTCTGGATGTGTAGGAAAGGCTGAAGTGGGAAAAGACTAAAGGAAGGATCTTACTCAGAGGCAAGGGACTGAGAGGAGAAAACACATTTTAGAGACCCATGCAAGAGCTGGAACTAGCAGGATCCTTGGCTGGTGGCTTAAATGTAGTGGTGGGAGAGCTCCAGGGAAGTAAAGAGGCAGGAACAGTCTTGGCCAGGTGTTGAATACCAGCATCTTCCAGAAAAGATTTTTTGATGAAACATAGCTTAACTCTCCTGCAAAACATGTTGTCTTATTCAGCACCAGAACTTACCAGGCTTCAGTAAGTATTTGCTGAATGAAGACAAAACTAAACCAACAAAGGCCCATACTATCAAAACTAGAGAGTTTAAAAGACTCTGAGCCAGCACAGTTTTATATTGGGTTAGGAAAAGATTGACCCAATAAGAAGGTTTATAGTATCACTGAAATGATAAGAATTCCCCTAAGTATATATTGAAATTGTCATCTGGTTTAGACTTCACACCAGGAAAACTGAGGAATGGGATCATCGGTTGGTGTGTCTGCTAAAATGGCATCTGGTGTGGGGTATACCATTAAAATTCCTGCATCCTTAACTTTCAGTACAACTGATGAAAATAAAGCTTATATAATATCCCCTAAAGCACACATTCTTTATTTGTGCTATGAATAAAAAGAGCATAAATCCAGAAGCCAGTTTACTAATGCCCTAATAGATTCTGACATATGTGCATCTTCAGCAGGATCTACAAAATACTTAGAGCAACCTCTCAAGTATGAAACAAATTCATTGCTAAAAATAACCCAACCGAAGTCCTTTTAATAGGTCTTTCAGCTCACCCTATGGGTACAGATGTATCTTGATTCCATCTGAAACTTTCATTTCAGATAAATGTGCAGTCATCAAATAATCACATAAAACCGAATTTCTATAAAAAGTAGGAATGGATGACCAAGGGCTTTAAAAGACATATACATTTTGAAGTTTTAAAAATGTTCCCTTGATTTGCCATAAACAATAATATACGCATCCACTGGGAGAAGTTATGGTAGCTTCATCATCAAAAATCATTAAACATAACTAAGAATCTGTCCTGAAGGCCAGTCAGTCTCAAGCCTGGTCAATTTATAATAAAGAGGTAGGAAAACAATTAAGAGTCCATGGAGTCATATGTGGGGTTAATTTCTGACTCTGCCAGTTACAGGATTTGTGACTGTGGACCAATCACTTGACTTCTTTTGAAGCTGAGTTTTAAAATCTGAAAAACTAAGAGAATGAAACTTACAGGGTTACTTTAAAGACAAAATGCAAATGTGTATCAAAGCATTTTGCATATGGTTTTACAAATGCATAGGTGCTCAACAATTGTCAGGTGTCATTATGATTCTTCTAGATTGATTTCCATTCTGATGCTTAAAGGAAATTTAAGAGGTTATATGTGTAATCATCAAATATAATTTTTAAGTTTCAATTACTTGGTGTAAATTTGAATATTTAACTCAAATTGAGTTCTGATTTTATCAACATACTACCACCTTGCTTCATCTATTAAAAACCAAGATCATCTAATATATAATACAGATACATCATCAACTTTACCAACAGGTAGGAATATCTTTTCTGTGACCCTAGATACTCTATTGATTTAGTGAAAGAATGTGAAGTGATTACATGGGCTCTGAAATACTGGCAGACATTAGAAAAAAAGTGTTTATTAACTGCTCTGTGAGCTCCTTAATGGTAGAGTCATATTTTTCTCTGAATCTTCAGTAGACCCTAACAGAGCACTGTAGAAAGTAGATGAGGAGTAAATACATTGGATGGAGAGATTTCCTTAGGGACATAGTAAAATAGAAAATACGCTTGATTTGGTTAAGACTGAATTTTATTCTTCTACGAGGCTTCTGAACTCAGCCTAGTGCTTGGAACAGAGTCAGGGGATCTTAATAAATTCTTTTTAATGAATAGTATTTCTTGACTAAGGATCTAGTCTCCACAGAATAAGGTCTGTAACTCTTGGCAAACGTAACCAAGAATAGCATGAGCATTATGTGACATAAAATTCTCCAAATGTAATATGCATCACCTGTTACCACTGTCTTTCACAGTTAATTTTCCAACAGAGATTCTACAAATAATATTAGTTAACTGAAATGTCATAATTTTATTTCCTGATTCAATCTCACTCAAATCCATTATTAGTGAAATGGCCAAGAGCAGTTAGCAAAAGGGTTTCTGGAAAATCATGAGACTGATGCAGAATCAAACTCGAGCATGTGAACAGACACCCTTTTGTGAATGCCCACTGAAAGTATGAGTGAATGAACTCTAAACCATTCTGAAGTAGAAAAGTACCATGAAAATTCTTAAAACAAATTGACATTTAAAACCAATCATTTATATTATAAAATAGGGAAAAATACTATTCTGATTGGATAACTACATTGGTTTTATCTATATCCTAAACACAGATTTCACAAATATAAAATACTATGCTCTGTGTTTGTGTGTATATTTAGAAGATATTCCTAGGAACGCACAATATAGTTGGGAAACAGAAACGAACATCAGGATTTCCTATAAACCCCTCACACAAAAAGGATCAAATGGCCTTAAAAAACAGACATCGTCTTCGTGGTAAAAGGATATGAAAATCCCATTGCCTCCTTTATGCCTGCCACCCTGCACCATGCAGAAGCACCCCTCATTTCTCTTTTTCATTAACACCACAAGGATTGGCTGTATCCCAATGAACTTACTCAGATAAACACAATGCAGTTTTCTTTTAAAATAAGCCTTTACTGAATATATCAACAAGGTACTGTATAGTGTAGAATGAAGTTTGTAGTTAACAAAGTGTGCGACATGGTACGTCTCAGAGGATGTGTGGTGCAGAATCTTCCAGCCCCTTGTCAGAGAGAACACGCTAAACACAAACCAGAAGCAAATCAACATATGGTTCAAACAATAACAAATCATCGGGATTAACTCTCAGTGAATATACACTAGTCCTATGAGGGACACACGGTTGGCGATGTCTTCACGTTGCCTCAAATTGGTTATAAATCTTACAGCCCACGGACACCTTTACAAACGCCCCATGTATGTGTGTGTGTGTGTGTGTGTGTGTGTGTGTGTGTGTGTGTGTATGCACGTGTTTGCAGGTTTTATACTAATTTAAAAATGCCTGTTGCAATGGTCTTGTTTTGTGCTCTTCTGGTGGGTGTGCAGCTAGAAAAAGAAAAAAATAACTATAAGCAAAAGTATCTCATTTGTTGCAACAACAGTATCAAACGTGTACAGAACTTTTTCCCCAGTTATGGAGGAGCATCCCCCATTGCCAGCAATTGTCTTTAGACCCTGCCTAAGACGTCATGGAAGGCTGTAAGCTACACCTTCTTACCATTAGTATTTTGACTTTCTAAAGAGCATCAGGCAAGATTTGACAAGACCAAGAACTAGAAGTACTTTGTGTGTAAGTATCTTTTTCCCTTTGGGGCACTGTTTTCTGCTTTGTTTTCCCACATATCTTGGAAGGGTAAGTCATGAGCAAAACTGCTATTCTTGTGTTTAAAGTAAAACATTATGTCTCCTTGTTATAGGTTAGAGGAAAATGCTAGAAACAAAGATGCCAATGGAAATTAACCACTTCACTGTTTAAAAGCTGCAACGGCCCCTGCAGCTGAGGTCTGCCCATCAAGTGAAGCATGTGCTCCCTGTAGACTGCAACATGATTGCCTTGTGTTTTGAATGGATGCTTTGCTCACAACATGAAGAGCTTGTCCTCCCCAGTGGGGAAGGAAGTTCTGATTTGTGTGAGACAACTAAGACCATTATGATCGGCACTAGTAGGAGACAGAGCTGTAATATTAGCTACTTCATTAATACTTTTCACCAGACTGGTCACATTACACTTTTTGTTTTTAACCTCAGGAAAAACGTCTAATATATTTTCAATAAACATCCAGATAATTAGAAAGTACATTATTTCTCACAGGGGAGAATGTTTTCTACTTGCTACACAAGTAAAATAGGCAGGGGGGCGCATTCCTCATATCTGTCTGTGATTGTCCCATGCAAGGGGCGCTAAAGCACCTGACGGTGTTGGAAGGAAGCCCAGGGTCTCTCCTTGATCAAACACATCTCCCCAACAGGTAGGTATTAACAGCTACCCTGGGTAGGAACAACTGCCAGTATGCATGTGTGTGATCGTGGCTATGCCTGTTCCTTTTGGAATGTCCTCTGTACAGTGACAGGTACAGAGCTCTGAAAGCAGTCAGATACCACCTGAAATCACATCATTTCATCAGACAGCATAGAGCTCTTTATAAGCCAGTGAGCACAGCTGTTTTCCATGGTCTTGGCCTGCACTTTCAACCTTGACTTTTGACTAATCATCTCAAAATACACAATAATGACACCAAAAGAGGCCCAGATGCAGAGTGGATGTTATCAGCAAAATAGACTCCCATGACTAAAAATGCCAATCCAAGCATAATTCTCCAGGGATGGTTGTTCAGCAATTTTCATAAGACACACTAGACATCACAGTTTCTATGATGTGCTTTCTATCCTGGTCTAGATGACAGCCAAGGTATAACAAATGGGAGACTGATTTTCATTTTAGCAGTCTTTGTTACGTTGTGCACAAGATCAAAATAAAGCCTATAACCAGCTTCTATCTCTTCAGGAACGTTTTCTAGCAGAGGGACCATTTCAGACCATCCGAACCACTTCACATGACTGGGTCTCCATTATACCACTTAAGTCCCAGATAATTCTGTGAATCCCATAAGACATTATAGGAACCTTGTTCTTCCTGACCCAAAGCAAAGAAGTTTCAGCAGCCAAAAATCCCGCTGGGGGTTAAACATACAACACAAATAAATGAGAATGATTATTTTATGGATAACAGAAATAAAAACCCTCAAAAGTCAAAGTACCATCATTTGAACACACAGTTTTACCTACACGGCCAAGGGGGAGAGGACAAGAGAATTGTCCAGCTAAGCACACAAAGCCCCATGTTGTCCTGATGGTAGGTGGCTTACTGCTATACTCATCTCCTTCAGACTATTCTTTCCCTTCACTGCGTGGACCTAGCTTTAAAAGAACAACAGCCAAAACCCTCCAGCTAATAGACTAAAATGGAAACCAGAGTCACTTTAGAATTAATTGAAATTAATTCGTAGCTAAGTTCAGCTCTACTGACTGCACAGTTTCAATTCTTGTGTCTACATTATAGTTTCAGTTAACATTTTCTGCTTATTCTGAGGGACAAGGGAGACTAAAGCATATAAGTTGGGGTATATTATTAAAGAAAATAAAGCTCTTACTATAAAGAAAAAGTTGCATAGCATTTTATACCTAAACTTTTACAAAGAAGACACATCACAGTTTTAGTTTGTTTAGAGAGAGAGAGAGAGAGAGAGGGAGGGAGAGAAAGATGATTGTGACAATTACTTCATAGGTCCCTAAAATAATGGCCAGTGGTAAAGAAAATAGGCAGCACAGAATGAAATGTTTAAATTTGATTTTAAAAAGAATTTTCCAGGGAGGAGTTTTAGATAATATATGTGATCTATAGCCCTTCTATATCTAAGGGATGGCATGGATTAAATTACACGTTTTCTGAACATGGAACATTGTTTCAGAAATATCTAGAATTAAGCACAGACATCCCTCTCTTCCTATGCCCTCTGCTCTGCCAGGATTAGGGGTAGGAGCCTTCACTCTCCGACATGTTCATTTTTCATTGGTTGTCCTGTTAATGTAAGATTAATTATCCCTCTACAATTCCCACAGTAGAGGAACATCCACAATGGAAAAGGAACAAATAAAATTTCAAAAGTGGAACAGGATCAAAGTCAGTCCGAGGTGGAAACCAGGTATTGCTTTAAAAAAATGCATTATTTTGGCCAGCTTTGATGTGTCCTTACAGAATTATTAGCAGTTAAAATTAGTATGCGTTTTAAAATGTGTCAGTACATACGGATGTTTTGTGCAGCCAAGAGTGGCATCCATAATTTTCTGGGAAATACTGAGCAGAGGGGGGAAAACAAAGGTGGCATAAACAACTAACCATGAAAATATATGGGAGATGATTGGAAGACAAGAATTTGCAAGGGGATAAAGGTATTAATTCAAGCTATTTCAACATGATATTAGCAAAGTCAGTTGATATAGATGAACAGAACCACCAATCAGTTGTTTTTGTCTAAATAGTATCAATGATTTTTAAATAAGTCATCGTAGTATATTCCAAACACTGATCCCTTGTTGGTCTAAATATCATGTTGACATAGCCTCAGTGAATCTACCCAAATAATTCTCATTATCAAAAATAATTCCATTCAATATAATTCTTCCCTTTAATTTTATTAGCCTCTTCTAAAAAAGTATTCTAGAATATATCTCTGTTGAATGTGATTCAACCTGACATACGATTTGAATAGTAACACTTTCAAAGGGAGTTTCTTGCTAGGACATCACACTAGTCCCTGAAGATGACTGAAATCAGACTCGAGTTTCTAGCCCTATTACCACATAGGGCCAAGGAAGCATGAAGGGTGATTTTTAAGTTCCCAGTCAGAAAGCCAACCTCTGGGTTTTAAGGTCTTTTCAAATCTTATCTCAATTTTCTTGAATCTGTCACTTTGGGTTAACTTATCTCACAGGAACTGGCTTCCTTTCGATGCTTTCTGTGTTTCCTGCACTGGGTCAAATCAGGGTAACTACCTCCATTCTTACAGAATTTTTTACTTGTCTTCCAGACCAGGGGGTATAGAAATAGCAGGAAAATATCTGGGCCATTTCTCGTTTCACCCCTATTACTCATCTTACCGTGATGAGTCATTTTAATCTGCCCTTTCATCTGACCACCAGGAATTTACTCTGACAGCTTCAACAGCAAAGTGGTTAATGTGCATTATAAGGAAGAATCACTTGTTCTTTCGCCTTGGTGTTGGGTTCTCATTGTACAACCCTGTACAGTACTTTAGCAACTATTTTTTTTTTTTAAGATTTAAAAAGCAAAGAGTTACAAAACTGTTTGTAATTAACTTGAAATAGAAAAGATAGCACTTTTTTTAAATCCCATTATATAGTACACCGTATAAATTACAGAGTATTCAAATGCACAAATGCATCTGTGTAACATTTATCAAATGTAATTCGCGTGTCTCTAGGTGCACACACGTGTGTGATCTCAAGAGTCCTATCATCCGCCTCCATAACGCTGGACCTCTGGCTGTCACGTGTGGCAGTGTTCCAGGTCTGGTACACTGCTGTTGCAGTATCGCATGTTGTTGGGGATATGGCAGTCTGTGTAATTAATGCCCCCGTTTGGGGTGTAAATGGGCTGCAGTCTGAAATCTCCTTTAAGGAGCTGATCGTTATTTAAGGAGACGATCTGAAAACTGGTTTCTGTCATCTCCAGGATGGAGTTGTCCTTCTTGGTGCCTGCCTCGCAATAGTCGTCTTTCCGCCGGCCCCGGTTGTATTTCCACTTCTGGGAGGTGTAGCGCCCCTTTTTGTGCATGTGCCAGCAAAAGACGCTGAGCAGGACCACGAGCACGAATATCACCGCGCCCCCGATCAAGCCTGCCAACAGAAAGGGGGAGCCCATGCTGTGGGAAGTCGTCTGCTCGTGGCTGGAAGCTGTGTTGCTGCCATTGTTCAGATAGGAGGCGTGGGTCGTGGCCTCAGAACAAATGGTATCTTCCACCGCGCGGTAGTTGAAAGCATCCAGCGGCACTAAACAAATCCGGTAGGTGGATCTGGGCTCTAAATTAACCAGGCTCAGATGTTGCTTCTCACCACTGACGATGCGTTCCTGAACGATGCCCCCTACCAAACTGTGGCCCATTTTCACCCACGTGAGCTTGTACGCTGTCACGGTGAAGAGGGAGAGCCAGCTCACTTGAATGGAAGTGTCATTCACGAAATGCACGGAGAGTTGGATCCGTTCGGAAATAGGTGGGGTCACTCTTTCTCTGCCGTCCCAGTCAGGAATCGTGGGGAGTTTCGATGTGGTGGGACTCGGAGGCGTGTAGCTTCTGCCAGGGCTGGGAACTGAGAGAGTGGGAGGCTGAGTCGTCAGAGAAGCTGTACTTGGGGCTGGGGTGAAGAGAGGCAGGCCGGGGGTTGTGGTGGGGCATGACAAAAGATTCATATTCAATTCCCTGACAGCCATCCCTCGCACTTGTTCAGGACCTTGGCACATGAAACCCCGCACGTTGAGAGATGAAGGGATATATTTGAGCCATTCCGTGACCCATTTAATACTGCAGTCACAAAACCAAGGGTTATTCCGGGCGGTCAGCTGCTTCAGGTTGGAGAGATTATCAAAGACCCCTTGAGTCAGCATTCGCAGTTGGTTGTTGGATATATCCAGCCGTTCCAGCTTTCGGAGATTCGAGAAGGCCGTCAAAGGGATGTGGTTTATCTGGTTGTCCTGCAAATACAGCCTGATCAGATGCGTACCTGGCAGATCAGGAGGAGGGTGGGAGAGTGAATTACGTACGATTGAAAATTCCTTGAGCTTGGTGAGATGGCTGAAGGTGCCCTCGGCAATGCCCTTGTTGGTCAGGAGGTTCCCGTCCACAATCAGACGCTCCAAGCTCGTGAGATTCTGAAAGGCCATGTCTGATATGACAGCAATTCGATTCTCATCCACTCTCAGCTCTTGCAAGTCCACAGGAAGTCCAACAGGCACACTGCTCAGGTGGTTCTTAGACAAAAACAACAACTTGAGGCTAATGGCCTCCCGGAAGGCCCCATCCTCCACCCCCACTGTGGAAATAGAGTTGTCATCCAGGTGTAGCTCTTCGAGCTTCAAGAGCTGGGCAAGAGCAGCCCGAGAAATGGTCTGAATATTGTTTTCCTGCAAATGGAGAACTCTGACATTCTTGGGAAGGTTCATGGGGAATTCATCCAGTTGGTTGCCATAAAGGTAGACCGTGTGCACCGACTGTACGTTGTGCAGTTCTGCAGGAAATCCAGCATTATTAATTTGGTTGTTGTGGAGGTAGAGTACGGTTACGCCCTCCGGGATCCCAAGAGGCACTGAGGTCAAGCTTCGCTCGTTACAGTAGACAAAGTTCCTGTCGCAGCGGCACACGGTAGGGCAGGCCAGGAGTTTTGACACTTGTGAGTAGAGCCCCAGGGAAATGATAAGCCAAGACTTCAGGAAAAAAGCCCCATGGCTGGGCCACTTTGTGGTCTGTAGGCCCATTTCTGAAGTACAGAAATCAAATACAACGTAATGGGGAAAAGAAAAAAAAAAAAAAAACAGCAAAATCAAAATGACTGGACGGGGTCCTGTCAAAGTCTAGAACTCCAGCTGGAGGAAACGTCCTGAGGGCGAATGGTAAAATAATCTTCCTGCTGTCTCTGGTCGGATCAACCTGTGTTGCCCTCTTTGCTGTTGTCCTCCATGTGCAAAAAAATTCAACAGGGAGAACTTTCCACACAGGCAATGGGTGATGCCAAGTTATTATTAGTGGTTTCAGCAAGCCCAGGCGGGCAGGCAGAACTCCCTTCTTCTTTTGTGGGTCAGGCCAGCCTTGATTAGCCTAGGAATTTCTCATGTAAACTCAATCTGCAATCTGTTGTAGGAAAGAAAAGAAGAAACAGTCAGGTACAGGTGGAAATGGAAGAAATGCCAACATGACTATAAGCTTTTCAAAAACAATGTGCTTGGGACTAAATTTGGAGAGGTGGGGGGTTGGCCTTGAGGGGTATTTTAAGTAAGAATAATTCAGTTGAACAGGTATAATAAATCATTAAAATATCTTATCCTGAAAAGGAAACCATACTGTCACCTCTCACTATCAATAACCACATTGTGGAATTTTACATCCCAATCAGTACCACCGTCCCTTAAATATCTATTTGCATATCCAAACAGGTTGAGGGCCACAGGCACGCTGCTGAATCCACCGGATCGGTTAATGATCACCACCTACAAATCCTACTGGTCACAGTCTTGTTTCAGGATGGAGACGGTGACTGAGCAACTGGTAAAACTGAGGGGAAAAATGTGAAGCCCTATATAGTTATGCATTTCAAAAATGCAAGATGAAGACTTAAGCAAGTCATTTAAAAAGATGTATCCTTATCAAGAAGATATTCCTAGTTCATTATATTTCCAACAATATTATTTATGATCTTTCAGATACTCTGCTATAAAAAAGCTGTAGCTGTTGCCATTTCCTTTTAAAATGTATTTTAAAACTCTGATACAAAAGTTTATTCGTGCTTAACGGAGAACTTTAGAGAATGCGATGTAAAGAATACAGTGTAAAAGGTGGTCAAGATTATTCATGTTATCTACCACCCAGCGATAATGGATCAAATTAGTTTATTTGCTTCCTTTTTTTCTATGCATATACTTAACAGAATTGGAATCATAATTTTTCGTTTTGTTACCTAATGGTATGTCATGAGTACATGCCTATGTCATTAAAAAAATCAGTCGAAATAAAAAAGATGCATCCTACAGACCATCTGCAGTGAGGTAGTATACACGTAACGCACAGAAGCAAGTGCGAAGGCAGAGAGACAACTTGCCTTCCCTCCTCTTTCTCTTCCTCCAAAACAGCTTACACTCAAGTCACCAAGGACAATGATCATTCTCCAGTGCATGCCACATTTCGACTTGTCCCCTCCTTTTGGACCTCCAGGTCCAGATGAGATACACCATGGTGATCCTCTTTAAGATCTGCCGAGATCATTACTGCGATAAACTTTTTATCAACAACACCTTCCTCCTGTCTGTGCTTTCCTGTTTCCTGCTAAAAGAAGGACTTTCAGCAAATTTTGAAATGACAGAAGACCCAGTTGAGGAAATCAAGGCAATCGACAGATAGTAATCATGCCTTCCTGTTCCAGAACATATTCCATCTGTTTTTAGATTGGAGAGGTAAAGAAGTTAATTGAAAGGTGCCAGATTTGATTTCCCTACAAAACAGGCAGACATGACAGGACACAGCAAGCCGCGTGTCTCTTAATTCGCACCAATACACATAGATTGAAACTGCTTATATCTAAAAGCACAGAGGAACTATCTGTAATTGTTCCCTTAGCTAGCTTTAGAATTATAATATAAAAAGAAAAAAAAATACCAGTGGAAATGTCGTTTAAGTGTCAAGGATATTGTAAATTTGTTCTACAATTCAAAAGATTATAAATCATGTAAAAAAAATGCCTTTGATGACCAGAAATAGTAAAATGCATCATTTATTGTTTAGG